TGCATTTGTTGTTTTTGTTGTTCCTGCTCACGGTATTTTTGCTAAGCTGTAAAAGTACCTACAAAGTACTTCGATTTCTGGTATAGCTGAGAAAATTTGCAGAATGATTTTAAGTAACTGGTCAAATATTCTAAAAAAAACACGTCTCACAAACCGAGACGAGGGCGCTGATTCACTTGCTCATGTGTAGCTGAACTGATGTTAATAATTACCTTCGCCAACACATTTTATTAGCACGATATGGTGACATTCAATTTCTTCCCAAACTCTCTGCCCAGCCCCTGCTCGACCAAAAGATGTTCAACTGCTCGACCAAGAGATGTTTTACTGACATAAATCAAGAAAAAGACCCAATTGCTTTACTCAAACATTTGTGCAAATCTTGTCCATGATTTCTTTGTAGCCAAAGAGACAAAAGAAAGACAAGAAGGAAGTCATTAAAGAAAAGAAACCGGAGATCAAAGATTCTGTTTTTCAAGAAGAGCCTCCTACTCCTGAGAAGGATACTGAAGATAAAGAAAGCAAGGACGATGGAAAACCAAAGAGTTCCTATGCATTAGATGACATGGAAAAGGCCACTTTTGAAGCGGTGAGTGTAAGCAACGTATTCCCTACTTTGGTAAATTGGCTGTTCGGATCTGGAAATGTTTGGTGGTTCACATTCTCATGCATGCCTCCAAAGAAGCTGTTGCCGAACTTGTAGCATAAAATTTTTCGGGTTTTAATTTTAAGAAATTTTTTGGATTGTCCAAGTCCAGTAGATGTACATTTTCGAAATAAATGACGCCGCAAAAAAAATTAACTAGTGTTAGTCTTATGAACAATTCAAGTGTATGAAACAGCTGTGATTTTCCTATACGAAAAAGACAAGAAAAATGGTGGACTTGTAACTTTGTTTCATCGATAATCTTTTTCTTGTTGTTGTTGCAGTGCAAAGAGAAAATGCGGCCAGTGAAAAGAGCCCTAAAAATGCTGGAGAGTCCAGAAGGGACCATGACTGAGAAGGATCAAGTCTCTCAGACAAGACAGGTAGATTTTTATTTTTCATTTCTCGTGCCGTTGACGCAGCTATGTCTCACTCGATCGAGGGGCGATTACAAGATTTCGATGAAAAACGAACTGAAGACATCGCCGGTTGAGTTACTTCCGGTTCGAATTTTTTTGCCCGGGTTTAAGCGGTGGAAGTGGAAATGAACTCGAGTCTAGGATGCTCCGAGCACTATTGATCCATTTTGATCCATTTTGACCCATTTCTATCAATCCACATGTCTATCGATTTTGAAAAAAATTGTGCGGTTATTTTGAGTCAGAAAACAAAATTTTTCCTCAGTAAACTGCGCTATACTCTTATCTGTAGTTGCCACTAGCAATTCAATTCCAAAGAATAACCTTTTCATTTCAGTGCTTGTTGAAAATTGGGGATCACATCACTGAAATCACATCTCATTATAAAGAAGGTGATGTTGTCACGGAATGGAGGAAGTAAGTGAACGGTTAACTTAACGTGAAGCCTGTAACGTGGCTGATATATTGTTGCTTATGGTGTAATTTCGTAAATTTGTTTCTGTGTTTTTCACATTTGGTTGTGAACTTAATTCCCTCTTGTTTCCTTCAGCAATCTTTGGACGTTTGTGTCGAAGTTCACGTCGTTTGAAGCGAAGAAGCTTTTCAAGCTTTACAAACACGCTGCTAAAAAGAGAGATGAGTCGAAAGCGCAAGAGGTACGTAGAGGGTTCTTAAAATTTTGATATGGCTTTGCTGCTGCTTCAATAAAAACGAGATCAAATCGGGATGTCAAGGATTTCGGAAAAAGCAACTCGAGACTTAGTAGATGAAAGACCCGTCTTATGATCCAGTTCTTTTCCTTGCAGCGCACTCAGAACAGACCCGCCCCTCAGTCACAGAGAACCCCTCAAGACTCTTCAGGAATGTCCCGAAAGCACCTTGGTGACCATGCTCCCCAACGCTCATCCAACGATCTCAAACGTCAAATGGAAGGAGGGAGCTCTTCTCATTTGGGGCCCGGAGGAAAAGTGCCCCGGATGGACCGCACTAATTCAGGGTCAAGTTCTCATAGTGGGGGGAGGCATTCTGGGGGTGGAGATGGCTACGACCCTCGACGGTCTTCGTTCAGTCATTCCGACAGAGTCAGCGGATCGACCAAGGACAGGCCACGTGACGGGTAAGATCTTATGTCGCTTTTTATTGGAGCGCAAGATTTAGAAAATAAATTTGGCCACAACCCCAATTTTTAACCCCTACGACTGAAATGCTTGCATAAACTTGATAAACTACTAGAAATATCCTAGTGTCAACAATGACATATCCGTTTTTTTTCCCACGCCATCGCAGACATGACCACAGTCACAGGTATCACGAACCCCAGAGAGATAGGCCTTCCTATCATACTTCTGATTATTCCCGAACCCATGACAGGCCGTCGGAGCACAGTCGCTCCCACGATCAACATTCACGAGCATCTTATGAGAGGAACTCGGATCACCATTCCCGATCTTACGAAAAGAGTCGGGACCGAAGAGATGACCATCACCGAAGTAGTGTTCGGGAATACTCGTCCGAAAGTCGCTACCATGCGCACCGCGATCGGAACAGCGATTCATCGTCGTCACGTCACGGGAATCAAACAAGTTCTCCGAAGTCTGGCGAGGGAAAAAGACACGGAGAAGACAGACGCAGCCTAGAGACCGACAGGGAAAAAAGATGACAGCTTCTGACAAGCAAAGTTTTAATCACCTTTTTATCACTACATTCCTGATTCTGTTAACTACCAAAAATAGAAATCCAAGAACATTTCAAAGTCGCCATATTTTTCATTTATTAAGTTTATTTATTTTCTAAATTAATATCGATTATATGTTCGTTGACTGTGGAGTTGTAAAAAGTATGTAAATACTCCTAGTAAAAAGCCCTCACATCTTGTCTCCCTTAGAGTAAAGTTCCACTTTACGAAAGAAGTCAAATTGAAAATCTCTTTTCTTGTTTCTCTGCTGTGCAAGAGAAGCTGGTATGCGCAATATCTTGTAGAAGTTTTGTACCGAAGGTAGATCGTATTTTAACATATTTTGCATCAAAGTGTAAAAAAGATTTACTGTAGTTGTACAGTTTTGAAAACAAAACGTGCGCCCAGAGGTATTAAAAGGGGTTTGTTTTGTATGGCGTGCAATATAGTTTATATCTTTCAATAGCCTGCAGTGCAGGCGTCTCTTTTTTTCGCGAGCGAACTTTATAAGCTTGCGATCGTTTATCCGACCGGCCATATTTGACTTGGAATAAGAGTGGACGGTGGGGGTAGGGGGCGGGAGAAGGGCGAGAAGAATCTTTAGTCCCCCTCTCCTTATTTTTGACCGTCGACTGCCTTCTTAGTACAAAGTTCTTTCTCTCCTCAGCCTTGCGCTGCCACTAAAACCAAAGATGAGGCCATCATTTTCGTTAAGAAAATGCTGAGTACTCGCTCGCCAAAATTACGCCTGCTCTGCAGGCTAATCTTTCAATGACATGTCTTCGCGCACTCCGACTGGTCGAAAATCTCTCCATTATTGTATGGGTAAAAATATAGGAATTTACGAAAGCAACAGGCCTCACTTTTTATCAGTGGAGCACAGCAATAATCCGTTAAGTACGACATAAACCCATTTGGTGCGCATGTCTGCAGTGAGCCCATTGTGTAGCTGTTGGACTCTCACGTCAAAACATTCAAAGTGCTAAATTTTGGTGTTTGCTGCTCCCGGAAAGAGAGCACACAATATTCCCGGTAAAAAAATACTTTCACTTTGAAGTTCAATGTACTAGTCATCCAATTAATAATCATTTGTAAAGATTCTCGACACTACCAACCACTTCCTCTGAAGTCAAAAGAGACTAATCTTAATTTGTCTTATTCGGAAATTTTGAAACCCTGCCCTCCAAATTCCTTTCTGGGGTTAAACATTGCGGAATTTTTTAAAGCTTGTACTATGCTAAGAGGAAGGGTTTTTTTTTTTTGGCTAGTCTATCCGTAAATGCAACACGCCAAGAGCGCGCTAAGATTTTCATGGACTGCCCAGACGAAAAAGTTTGACTTCTAGTCGAGTCGAGTCGCATGCTACTCTATGCACAGAGGACAATGAATTCCCCGTGAGGAGTGGTGATGGTACATTTGCATCTCGCCTTGCGATCTTGTCATCTTGTCTGACAGTTCAAGCATTCGGTGACGCCGATGGCTCTGACTGCTGAGTGTATGAAGAAGTGAAAAGAACCAAAAAATTATCGAGAGGAAATTGTGGAACCTTACATGAAAATAATTGCTTTTATTGAAAGGATCAAATTAGTTGCAACGAAAGCAATGGCCTAGTCGATCAGGCTTACGACCAAATTATTTGTTATAGTTGAAGTTGTAGTACTTAATTTTACTCGAAGTCAGCTTCTTAAGTCGCAATAAAAAATTTTTAAGAAAAAAAATCACAGACACTTGCGCTTTATCACATCATATAAATGCTGGACTCCTTTTACTGACACGTGAAGGAATGTCGCGAATCAATCCTGTGAGAGATATTATCAAGATTATCTTTTGTGATCCTGCCAAAAGTGTGCTTGTATACGGCTAAAATACACACTTTTTGACCTCTGTAACGCGGAAAGTTTTTTCGTAGCTAAGGGTGAAATACGTCTTTGAAACGAAGAAACTGCTATGAGTTTTGAGAATTTGTTTGAAATTCTTGGTGTTATCTTTTAGCGTTTAAAAAATCTTTCATTGACTACGTCTGTTTGTTCAAGATTTGTAGGTTCATTTTTAGCATTTTTATCCCAGTTCGCAAAAACGCACAAAGAAAATCAACCTCGTTCAACTCGTCGAGAGTCCACACTTTGGTTAATGGCGCTAGTCGAGGAAGCAACCAATCTCAACCCACAAATTCCTCGGTTTATCTTTACCGCGCTGGGCCTGGTCCTAGGTTTATTTCCGGTTCCATGGCCCTGCCACGTCACCATTTCCAACATGTCAGGGTTTCTTGCATGACGTCTGTTCCTAAAATAAGACCACAGTTGACAACAAGAGAAGGTCTCCTTGTTCCACGTACAAACTTTAGATGTTGGCAGGGTTTTGAACTATTGACACTCATTTCGACAATATGGTTGTAACTGCTCCTCCTTCTCCAGTTTCTTTGGATCACCTGTACGCGAAGAAAGATTTAGACCCACAGGAAGATGTATTTTTGAGCTCGCCAGATTTTCTCGACTCATGGGCCCAGGTGAGTTGGCAGATTTCCTGATTCTCACATATAACGCACGGGTAAAGTGTTTTAAATGCATATAGTTTGTTTATTTGAATGAAGCCTTGCTACCTGTCTTTGGTCGAAAATGAAACTTCTTTCGTTCGTTCGAAGATGAAGAGGATTATTATTTTTATGCTGGATTCGCACACCAACATGCACTGAAAATTTTCATCTTCGTATCGTTCAGAATTCATAGTGAACATAGAACTGTGTTTTTTTGTCCATGTTTACATCTAATGCAAGCTTCGTCATACGTAGATTTGAATGTTTCAACTATGTGAAGAAATTTGCTTTTTTGAGCTCTCAGATTATACAGAAAGGTACAGTTCCACTTAGACAAACGAAGTTTCAAATGATAATTGCCAGAGACATGATATGCACGTAACAACTTGCGCCACGAGGGCTTTATCAAAGCTTTATCATTGTTTGTTCCAGTTACCTACGGTGTTTTCGTGTTCTGTGCTTAGAAAAAGAATGAGAGGCTGATTGATTTTCTAAAATTACTTCCAATTTCCAAAGTGTTTTCCCCTCAGAACAGTATTGTTTTCGATAGTCTGACTTACAGAGGAGTAACAGTGATCCTTTCTATTTTTGATACTGCATCTGTAACAAGCGATCAATGTAAAATATTATAATGGCTTGTTTAACAAGGCTGAATCAAAGCTTTAGTCGAAAAGTGTTAATTTATGTAGAGCAGAACAGATCTTTTACACTATGCAGTATCGAGGGTCAGATACACGTACAATTATGCTGCATAATTTTGGGCTCAATGCTATGGTCAGAGCATTGAACTGGTATAATGTCCAAACTTCCTAAAAATTCCTCAGATGTTACAGTTCAACAAGAGGTAAATTCTGTAGCCTGAGTACTGTCAACACAGAGCTGCACTTTACATATAGAAATTTGATCCAGCAACGTGTTGTGTTCTGAACTTCACTAAGGGCCAGGGTTCACTGGGCTGGCAAAATTTGTTTGGCTCTTCTGAAACTCTCGACAATCTTTGTTAAATCTCTGCTAAATTTTAAATTTGTCAGTAGTGGGTGCACTGGAAAACAGAAAAGTATTCATAGACCACAACTGCCCAGTCATGGTAAAAATTATTTCAGTTAAAGGAAAGGGGGGATAAAGTCTTGAAGAGTATGCTTGCTCTGTTTTGCTTTTTCTGTTCTTGTGAATTGGCTGCTCTCTGTTTTAAGTTATGTTATCCAGAGCATCAAAGAAAATTATCCTTTTCATAAAGAATGCATTTGTGCATTATCTTCCAGGCTGATTTTGCTATTAACACTGATGGTGGTCTACTCGACATCGGCCTGTTATTTGGGGAAGAATTCCCTGATCTTGGTGATTTATCTCCACCTCACTGTGAAAGCTCTTCATCAGATTCATACATGACACCCAGTCCTAATACTGTTGATGATGACCTGCTTGAGATTCTTAGTTCAACATCAACATCACCTGGATTGCCGCAAAACAGTGAAGATGTTGCAATTGATCTCGGTAAGTGGAGTTCCAAAAAAAAAAAAATCAGTCTGTACTGAATGGATTTTTTTGTTAACTCTTTCACTCCCAAGCTCCAATTCTCCTCACCATCTGACATACAATTCTTATGATACTATTTTCAAAGAATTTGATATTTGATCAATCAATAATCCTCTCATTGATAACTTTCTTAATTCCCATCACTTGTCTGCATGATATTGTAAAGACACATTCTGTCTCGGTCACTCACTGGAGTTAAATGGTTTAACTACTTATTATGTACTGCTTCCTAAACAAGGTCTCTGTGGCCAACACCTTTATGTGGACTGCTTCAAAAAAGAATTGTTTTAAAAGAGCTGTTTTATTCTTGCAGTCATTGCACAAATTAAAAGCAGTTACCACTTGTGTACCTCGTTCTGAAAGGAAAGATTCTGTCACACGGACAAACATAAAAAATTGTTTATGTCTGGTGATCATTTTATGATCTAAGATTGTCTAAAGGATACTTCAAAGAAATTGGATCAAGAGTTATTGTAATGTTTATTCTATTCTGCTGCACTTACCATTTACATAGGATGGAATGTTGAGCTCCCTGACTTAGAAGGGAATATTGATGCTTCAGAATCGGCAACTAATGAAACCTGCCTGTCAACAACAGTCGAGTCCTCCACAGTATCAGTCAGTCAGTCCATAGTTTCTCTCTGTACATCCTCTGCTTCCAGGGTGTGTAAGGTATGTCATGAGAACATTATGCAAAGAGGTTTATGTACTTAAAGTAGCCTTTTTTATTTCTTCTTAAGATAATACTACCATTCTTTTCCCTCAGAATTGTGTACATTTGCAATCTTAACCAGTAGTTTTGAAATTATGTAAAATCAGAGGTAAACTGAGAAAAATTTCTTTTCAGCTCAGATGAACCAAAAATATTTGAATGGATATTTCAACTTGCTTGTACACTAAATGGTTTTTCATTTTGTAAAGATGTTACTAACCTTGTACAGTGTAAAGTAATTTCCTGGAAGAAAACTAGTGTAATTTTAGTGAGTTTAATTCCCTTATTTTGATTATTGCAGTCAAAACTTCTGGTTCTTACAAGTGAAGAAAAGAAGTTATTAGAGATTGAAGGAGTTACCTTACCTACTGATATGCCTCTCACCAAGGTATGACATTCTATGGGTGCTTTGATAGTGTGATTTCTCTTGTAACTATTTGACAGTGTTCATTGCAAACCAGTATAGTCATATCAAACTGAACCAATACCTGTAGACTTTTTCTGTTAGTAAAGCAAGCTAGGTTAGCACACCCTTTATCTTTTCAAAAACCTTTTTCTTAATCCTCAATATTTAATTGTGAGCAAAACCCTAATGTAATTAGATTTGGTATATTTTTTCTTACATTATGTGATGAGAAGGGATTGGTAATTTCCAGGAGTGATTAGTAGAGTTGTAAATAACTAGATGATTTTTAGTCAGTACATGTACAGATACCATAGAGAAAGTGCAAAGTTTATCTTCAAATGTTTTTTCATTTCTTCAACTGTAGGCTGAAGAAAAAGTTCTCAAAAAAGTGAGAAGAAAAATAAAGAATAAGGTGAGAAATTATTAGATTGTGTTTTATGATAATCAAGGCTATTGTTGTAGTGAAACTCATGAAAAGAAGAGGTATTTCCTTCGTTTGCATTGATTTGGAAATTTCTCTGCATAATGGGTTAATGGAAACCTTTTTATGAGCCATCCTCAAATGAGAACTTTGTAATTTTATTTGAAGCAATCTGCACAAGAGAGTAGACGAAAAAAGAAGGATTACATTGATGGACTAGAAGAAAGAGTGAAAGCTTGCACTGAGCTTAACCATAACTTATCTATGAAAGTCAACAGTTTGGAGGAACAAAACAAGTGAGTCACACTCCATTCAGTTTGGGGCAAGGCTTGATAAACCCTTTGATGTAGAGGGCTCATTCTGTAAGGAGTGACATTGGGAGAGACTTGTACCGTGTTTGGTAGAAAATAGGCAATGATGGTTGGTGTAGTTACTGTGCTAATTTGAACATGAAAAACTTGTACCACATGGTTGATAGAAAATAGGGGATAATGCTTGGTGTATTTACATGCGCTTATGTGAACATGAATTGCTTTAGGTCCCTTCTGGATCAGCTGAAAGAGCTCCAAGCACTGGTAGCATCTACACATCCTACTAAAGCTCAGGCAGGGACATGTTTGATGGTGCTGTTTTTGGCCTTTGGTTTGGTTCTTTTTCCAATAAACAATGCTCCTGGAGAGCAGAAGGAAGCTGTTGCAAAATATGCACCAGCCATTGGTAAGTCACTTCTCCAAGGGAAGGAGGGGGGGTTGGAAGGGGTATAAATGACAAGGATTTCATTTTGTGTTTTTCATCAGATTTTTGAAAGCTTAGAAATTCCATTTTATTGATTTTCATTTTGTTGACATCCTTTATGCAGTGCGTTCTCGTACACTTCTTCAAGTTAAAGATGAGTACACAGATGAAGTTCCAGAGGTTGTACAATTTAATCTGAACAGTACAGATTATTTGAAGGCTGCTACTCCTCCCATATCACAGAACGCACCAAAATCACTTGGAGAAGTTATGGTGGAGGTCTCAGATATTGACAGGAGTCAAGCAGACAAAGTGAAGCCTCAAAAAAGATAATTGATGACTCTTAATAAACCCATGCAATGTAAATAGTTTTATAATTTAAAGAAGTCGTTTTGTAGAATTAGTTTTTTGAATACCAGTAGTTTGTGGTCTACTACTGTGTGGTCCACATCAACTTTTATTACATACCTTTGGCACCTAAAGAAAAGATCTTCCCTGACCTTTTCCCATTTATGGAAAAATTCAGTTGTAAATATATTTGTTCAAGGTATGAAAGGGTAATGACACAGACTTATAAAGAGAAGAAAAGCATTGGAAAAAGTGACAGCATTAAGAACAAAGAAAATAACATTTCCTTTCCATGACAGTTTGGAAATAATTCAGACCACTTATTCTCTATTTCCTAGAGGAAAGTTACACTTTTGGAATGCAAAGCACTGATGTTTATTTTGTAAAATGTGATGTAAATTTATAAATAATTAAGACATAAAGTTAACAGTGTATGATATCATTCCACTTAGAGCAGACAAGGATATTGTAATCAAATGACTGTATGTTATCAATTTTTGTTTAGAAAAGAAAAGAAAAAATAAAGTATGACATTAAATTTGGAAATCCTTGTTTTATTTTGTTCTCAATAGCCTTTTTTTCCTACTGCTACATTTACTTTTGATTTTTGGGGTTGCATTGGTAAAGCAGTTATTAAAATATAATTGAAATGGTTACCTTCTATTAAGGTTAACTTTCTTCACCACCATGGGTAACCAAGACAGAAGTTCCCTTTACAATATGAATAGAATATCAAGCAGACAAGTGATGAGAATGAACAAAAATATTAGTAAGGGGATGATATTAGTTGATCCAATGACCGAATTCTCCATACTAACATTGTGAGAATTATATTGCAGATAGTAAGGAGAATTGCTTGTGAGATCTAGGGAATAAACTCACTTAGTAAAAAGCCATTGGTATGCTGTACATGTAACTGGTTTCTGCACTCCATAGTTATTTCATGTGAACTACAAGACTGTTTGGGGTTTTTTTTTTCAATCTAATCGCAGGGATTATCATTTGGTCTCCAGAATTTGTGCCATTTATTCCATCATGCGTAAAGGATAAGACCAATTCACTCCAAATTACTGTCATTGTTTTATTATTTTTTTAGTTTAAGAATGAAGACTTACCAGATCGTGTATGCACCCCTTAAAAATTTGGGGCTCTGTAGCAAGCCTCTCCTCCCTGGTGTCTCACAGGTTGTTACAATTTGTGATGGCATTTAAACTGTTATGCAGCGTAACTTCTAAAGAGACTGGGAAAAGATACTTTTCATAGACTGCGATAGAAATGTGACAGTGAAATATTTTAAAGAGGGAGGTCATATATTTATGAGCAAATCATTTAAATTTATTAACTAATAATATACATGGATAAATTACTCAGTTCTGATTGGTTAACATAAATAAATGCAGTTTTCAGGTAATTCGGTGCAGAAGGGAGTTAATTTAGTGCAGAAGAGGGTTAATTCAGTGCAAGGAAAGTTTAATTTTTTCAAATACCACAAATTTCACTCGCCCTACGGGCTCGCGAGTCTTTTTTTTGTGTTAGTCTCAAAAAAAATTTACTCGTGCTTATTTATTCCAAATTGCACTCGAAATCATGCGATTACCTATACAAATTTCTGGTAGGCCTGTGGGTCGAGGGGATGCTCGTTGGTTATTTTAGTGCGATATAACAAAACTTTCTCAATTTGAGAACATTTTGACTTACAGATGTCATCACCTAACGGTTCACCACTTCCGTCACGCAATCCAAAGGAAGCGGAAATGCGCGTTCGCTAAGAAACAGACGTACTCAGAGGCGAAAACGTTGTCACAGATTTATTTCAACACACGTATGTCGCTATAACTAGAATAAATAACACATTTACTAAGTCTCTGTTATCTTGACGCAGTGAATAGAGATTGTCAAACACAGTAGATCACACTGCTCATAATCAAGTAAAAGCGGAAATTCTCTTTCAACACGAAAGTTCCTCAGTGTTCTCTCTTCGCTGTTCTTCATTCTACAGTTTAAACAATTCTTTCATGAAATCTCGTTCGCTGGCAAATACTATATCCGACGTCTTCCTCTGATTCAATTTCCAAACAGGTAATTTAACTGGGTTACGTTGCCGAGTGAAGACTCAACGTGCTGTTGTTAAGATTGTCCCCGATCGCTCGCAAACATCTTCCTATATCTCTTGAACTTCGCAACTCAGCGCAACACTCGCCAACATGGCGCTGAGTGGTCGAGGTGTTTCCACTCTGCGAGTTTCTCTCGTCCCCTGACTGACGACTTCGGCGGAAGCTAAAAGATCGCCGTCTAGTTGGGGGCTGGTTTGTACGGCTAGTGGATCGTTTGAAGAACTGGAACCCCATATAATCTGTACGATAAATACAAGAACAATTTTAATCATCACCCGGTGTTGCAAACCCGACAAATCCAAACTAATATGATCTCTAACGCCCACAGAAAGAGGAAGGTTCACTGCAGTTGGTACACATTGAGACGATTTCGCGATGACGAAATATCACAGTTCGAAAACTGAAAGATTTCAGTACACGCTAATTTATATAAGGGACCATAGCACTTCTCGCGAAGCAATTCGACTTACCTGAAAGAAACCTCTTCACACTAAACCGCAGCCTCGTTCACTTACAATTAAAAAATCTGTTACTCTTGTCCAATGTAGTATACTTCTGAAACGGAACTTAATACGTGCGTTTATAAGGATTTCCGTGATAATTACATCATTATTTGACGCACTTGGCAACCTTTGTAATGAGGTAATCTAAGGTTAAGGAAAAACCCATCAAACCAGAGCACGAAAATGATTGGCCTACGGAGTCAGGCCGTCTTCTGATTGGCTGTTAGTAGTCAAACCCCTTTTTAAAATCAAGGACGGGAAGTTTAGCGTTTCTCGGAAAGTAATACATTTTTATAGTATGACGATGATAGTAAGTCATGCAGAAAAAAACAAGTACTTAAATTTTATGAAAATTTCAATGAGGACAGTCTTTGAACCAAACAAAATGAGGTGCCTCCGAATTACCTTGTGTTAAAGGCGAAACATAACAAAGTAAACAAAAATAAGGATTGAAATCACAGAGACGAACTTGCTACTTGTAAAGTGCATGGCTTGAGGCATTGAAATGTGTGACGTGACGCTGGCGTGGTGCAATTCGTTTATTTATTTATTACAAGAACGACACATTACAATTATCACTACAATGAAGAATGAAAGGGTCAGATCAATTTATTTTTTATTAAGAATATAGAAACCGAAAGAATCGGGACCAAACAGGTAAGCGGACTTGGTCAGCAAATTCAATTCAGCGCGTTATAATTAGAATTCGACAAATATGGTTAAAAATAACTTTGTTATACAATTTTGAAACAACAGTCTTCTATTTTCATTTATTGTCAATCAGGGAAAATGGTTTTACGTGACTCTTTCTTTTTTTGTCTCTAGTAATCAGCCGCTATAGTTTTCAAGAATTCTGAGGAAAAAGTGCTGACTTTTCAATCTTTATGAGCTTTTGTAATTTGGTAAGAAACATTCGCATCGCATCCAATAAAGTCTTTAAACCCAATCATCAATATGCACATTCTCCATACAGTTCTCTATACTTTTCCTAGGTTGCCGACTGGGAGAATTTGTTCATTGAATAATCAAGAGCACCTTTGGTTGGTGATCATTTCCTTTGTTCTCATAACCTTCATGTCGGATTCAGGGGTGATACTGTAAAGAGAAATTATATGCTAGTCACACGTAGGGACTATAGTGTTAAGCACATAAAAAGAATACTCGACAATAAGACCTTCCAACAAGTTTTTCGATCACAGAATAATCTATCCCTCTCCAAAAACAGAATTGAAATGCAAAGAAAACCGCTTACGCGTTTGATAAGCACATTCAACTAAACTTGTCCTTTGCTTTCACGACCATACTACAGGCAGTCGTTTCGTGTACTGTCCTCGGAAAAAAATGGTAAAAATTATTTCTGTTGAAAAGGACGTTTTTAGGGGCAAGTATATTTTACACGAGAGACTCCTTAAGTACGAGTTTGCGCTCGAAACAATCTCGCCGACTCCGTTTTTTTCGCGCAAATGATCGACTACCTTCAGAACTGCGCGAATGATGCGTGCAACATCTCAAACCACTTTGAACTCTTCCCATCTGGCTCGATCAATGGAAGTATATCTGCATTCGTTACAAACAGGAGATAGTGATTGATTTTTCTGTTAGATTTATTTGATAACTTACCGTAGAGCGAAATTATGTTTGCTTTTCGAGTTTCCCCGTTCTGATCGTGGATTTAATCCATCATAAAGCTGACTGCGGTCGGTGTTAATTCGATCACCAAAAATGATCACTATAATAACTAGCCTTGGTAAAAAAGAATATATTAACATTTTCAGTTCGAAATTGTTGCTTAAAACTCTCGTCGCGTGTCATTTCCTGGGACAGATTATTTTATCTTTGCATGCATGGCAGTCGCTGCCATTCAACCAAGCTCTCACTGATTAGTCACCTTATCATGTAGAGCTAAGGATTGCAAATTCAATGTACAGAAACAAATGATATAATTTCTGTTAAGACTGACAGTAAGCCGGCTGAATTTTACAGTATGCTCGTGATATACCCCGATTCAAGTATATACTTATTTTCGTGCAAGAGGCGCAGCATAAATATTAATAAATGGGAGCCTTGAATGCATGTTGCAATCAAAAATTGAGTCGTGCCAAAAAAACTTTGTCCAAAGTGAAGTATCTAGAAAAGCTGAAAGTTACAGGCACGTTTAAAACACATCTTTCGTCGCAGTCACCAAACGAACGTTTTTTTGCACTCGGAAATCAAATAAAGTTGGCAATTATGATAAGCATATTGCATGTAACGTTTATTTTTATCACATCAATTCGGAAGTAAGCGTTCAGCTACAAAAATTGCTTCACTAAAACGTTCATTTTTATCACATCAATTTGGAAGTAAGCGCTCAGCTACAAAAATTGCTTCACTAAAACGTTCGTTTTTATCATATTAATTCGGAAGTAAGCGCTCAGCTACACAAACTGATAATACAATTGTCCTTAAAACAACTGAAATTAAGTGAAGTTGAAGAGTTGGCCACTAAATTTATCAGTTGTTCAGAACTTGCTGGTTTATAACACTGATTTATAAAAAGAAAAGCTTACAGCGTTGTCGAATCAATTTTTAACGCTGATGTTCAACGCAATATTTTCGTGTTTTGGTTACCTCAGAAAGAGTGCTTTTAAAATGTTTGTTTAATAAACAAAAATCTAAAATCTGCTTGTTTGACGTCCACGTCACCCTTAACGCAAACAAAAATTCACGGTTTGCGTGATAACGCACGAATTTCGTCCGATACAGTACGTGAGAGAGTTTAGCCGTAGGTAGATGAAAGAGGATACCGCGGGTTCTCATTTAAATTTATAAATAAAAAACAAAGAGGCAAAAAGGAACCTAAAACTAGCACTGCACGCAGAATGAACCTGTCCAGGGTTATGCCAAAAAGAAGAAAGCTGCCGAGAAAAGCTAACTTCATGTATCAATCATCGCACGAAAAGCATGAAAAAGTGATCAATTTTAGTGAAAGAATTTGCACAATTTACACTTCTTACCCAATAGAAAAGCGCGTCGTCCTACGCAATTTCAGTCAAAAATTAAATTGGAACCGAGTGAATTAATTTTCCTCATCAGCGCATTTTAATATGAATTAACTGCCCACAAAAAAATTGATTCACACTTCTCGACCAATCGTGTGAATGGATTACGTGGAATGAACCAGTCATAATTCAAGGAAACCAGTTCAGCGTACGTAACAGGTGGCAATTGAAGGGTTTACCTCGCGAGCCATAATTATCAAAACAAATTGCAACCAGCGTCAAATTGAGAGGAAACGAAACTTCAACGAACAGGACGTTTAAATTCCTCCGACTGCGATCAAGGGTACAGTGGTGTAATAAACAGACTAAGCATGAAAGATATGGATTGTTTGCAGAAAACCAGACTCGCGCAGCTTCAAGATTCAAACAGCGACGAAATGCAAAGAGTTTGTCAAGAAGCTAAGGCCCTAGCCAAAGACCTCGTTGAGTATCGCACTGGAAAGGGAAACCCTCCTCCGAGTCGCACTGCTGCAATTTTGAGAAGGCTGTCAGATGAACTTGAGGATCGTCATCCTGCAGTGCTCGCCAACATGTGTGGAAGGCTTAACATACTTACTGGTTCTGCACATACAAAATTTGTGCAAGTTGCTGACGAAGTTTTCCGCGATGGAGTGAACTGGGGCAGAATTGTGGCGATTTTTGCGTTTGGAGCGAAACTAGCCCAATACTGTTTTAGAAACAGACTCGAGAAGGAAGCAGATGATATAGCTGACTGGGTTGGAAATTATATTTCAAGTCTATCGGGCTGGATTCGATCAAATGGTGGCTGGGTAAGTTACTGTTAACAGACTACACCTCACAGACGCGATAACCTGCTATCTTTAGCAGAATATTAAACATTTAGAAAACTGTGCTGACCAATTTATGAATTTTTCATAGTACAATCTAACAGCCCTAGTAACGTCCTTGCAAATTTATTTTCCTCACTTTTAGAATTGTAGCTCTGTTAACGTTAACAAAGTTTCATCGGCTATGGAACTTGTGCGTCGAAAGAATATTTAAGTCATCAATCAAACGACTTTCCAAATCCTTTCAAACTCTGAAATGAGGACGAAAAATTCACGTTTACCTGCTTCTATCAGAATTTCATCCCTTTGCAGAAATTTCTGATTTACTTGTGTTCTAGCATCTTCTACCGTTTTGCCATTCTAAGTCGAAGTATCGTACTATAGAATTTTTACTAAAGCATCCCCTTCTAGTCCTCTAAGACTTCCTGTTTCCATATTACGCTTACAATCATACCTGCAATATTGATTCTGAAACGATCATACTCCACAATGCAAAATGCAAATTCATCCCAAAGTGGTTAGCAGAAAGAAAAGAAATCGATCACCTTTTAGGCCGAGACTGCTTAGAACTTGCGAATTTGGAAATACAATTTTTGTGCTGCAGAAATAAAACACGAGAACGCGTTGTATCGGTTCATGCCAAAGAAAAACGGGATTTAAACCTGAAAAGCTGGCCACACAACCAAAGAACTTCTGGAGATGAATTTATAAAAATAGATTTTCGAATGAACCCCATACAGAGCTGACAAGTGATATCAAAGCTTATTAAGATAATTCGTATTCAAAAGGAGAATGCAGTTATGAATAAATTTTAAGCCACTGCAGATAGCCTCAGGTGACAGTGAAACTCCACCAGCTACAATATTGTCTGGCCTTTTTTTTTAGGCGCTCGCCATCGTCCGAAGTCGTCGCGCATATTGCGCAATATTCATTACTAAAGGCTATTTCTTGACATGAAATTTTCATTACGTTCGAGAATTATTCAAAGTGTCCGAGTTCATAAAAATTAAGCAAGCCAACTTCCAAAATTATTTATTTGGGAAGAATTAAAATCGATAGGCATTTTTGCGTGCGATAAGATTTGAACTATCGGCTAAAATATGCCATTTTTTCCAATGGTGATTCAACAGTGTTTATGTGCAATGTCATAGTGGACGTCCTCTGACCTGCAGAGGCCCAAACAATGGCAAATATGAAACATTTGCATTTGCTGACAGCTACCTATTTAATTCATGGTAGCCAAGAGTACTTTGAACACCGAAAAAATGTCCAATTAGTCGCTTTACCGAGGCTTTTTTGAGAGAAGCACATATGGAACTATGTAAGTTACAACTCATCTCCAATTTTTGAATAACTTAGATTAAATGCAAAAATTTCGCCCCAGTGTGTAATAGCGGATCCCGAAGACCGTTGCTAAGTTACCAGCAGGTCGGAGTCAATTTTGGACGAAATTCGCGCGATTAATTATTTTATGGCAGCAAAATTAATACCGAGTGCGGGTTAAAAACCAAAATGTAAATTTTCAAACACGGTTTAGTGCTTAAATTTTGCAATGTGCGTTTGCATATGCATAAAAATCAATCATTGATTGATAGAACACTTACAACCTTAAGATAACCACACCTTCCGTTTGTTAGTAAACGAAAATGGCCTGGCTATCAAGTGTACAGAGGGTAGGCAAGACACACGCAACAAAACTAATGTATGCAATTAAAAAGAAATTGGACAAGCAGGATTTCGTAATTTTCTCTTTTTGAGACCACCCGCTCACGGGTGAGGATTTTTTTCGTTTCTTTTCTATTGTCATTTTAATCATATATTCACTATATAAAACTGCACATCTTCGGCCTTATCTATCATTTTCCCCATCCATTTTGTTAAGATTTAGCCTAAACTTGGTTTACTCGATCGGGTGCGTGAATATCTTCCATGAATCTTCTTCAGTTTCGTTCTAAAGACCAATGAAAATTTCCTATTTAGAGATTATCGACCTATTGTTCAAGGCGAAACGTGTATTTAAGAATCATGACTGGATCCTATTAAGAAATCTGATATTGGCACTATTCGTTTAGTAAATAAAAACTATTTTCAAAGACATTACAGACTAAAACTTAGCCAGTTAAAACGTTAAAATTATCTCACGGGTGAGCCAATCTGTGTAAATATTGACTGGCGTTTTCGTGCCTACTTCACAGTCATGAGTCATTCCGTGAGCTGTTACGTGCATCGAATATGCGATAACCATTGACGAAGAATTTATTAACGCGGTGTAGTTTAACACGCAGTATCACGAAAATGATATCTACCCTCCTGTCCACAAAACAACACATTGGATGTGATATAAGGCACGCCTCAGCGATTGAATAAGTGAAATAAGTGTTTTATACAGATAAAACATTTCTTGTAGTGTAAAATGACCTTGAACTAAGAATAAATTACTTAACAAAATATTCAAAATGTATTGCAACACAAAAATTTGCTGATTATGCAAAAAAAAAAGAAGAAAAAAAAAAAAGAAAAGTGAACGAAATCTTTGATAGAAGGATCAACAGGGTGTGGATATGTTCGACACCCCCCAGCACGTCCCAAAAATACATAAAAACTAAAAACTAACGAGGATTGATAATTACAACTAATGCTAATGAATATATTAGTTTTCGTTGTAGGATGTACCAACCCAATTTGACAAATGTTTGAATTGAACTCACAATTTACATTCTGAATCTAACATCAGTTTTGGCACATTTTCAAAAGATATTCGACAGATTTTACTTTGCCGTAAAATGGTTGTCAAGCAGCGAAATTAGTCGACTAGTTTCTACAAGAAGTTTTAATATGCTTTTAGACCCAGAGATAAAGATATGATAGTATTGCACCGGACTGGACTCCGAAACGGGGGACTCAGGATTAAGCCCTAGACGGGATTATCAAACTGTGTTTAAGCGAGAGGGAATTCATGTTTATAACGCCCTTCACCCGCCTTCCACCCTCCCCTCCCCGCCCCCTGAGAACTAGAATGAATACAAGAAATACAATGAAATACAATGAATACAAGAAAACAACAAGGGGTGGGAAGGTATTGTTCCTATGATTAGTTTGCCGGAGAAAATCATCTTAGTTCTTTGGACGCCACCCAACAAAACCGCGAGCACGATAACTTTCTTTCATCCTAGATTTCCAAAACTATTGGACACTGAGTATCTTATGACTAAGATCTAAATTTCTTTAAAAACTGACCAGAACCATGTAATTTGCGAGTTAAGAATTGATAACGCATAGAAATCGATTGATTCTACGCTAATAAATTATTAAGTGGCCTCAGAAAAACGTCCTGTGATGCCTTTTTAACTGTCACGTATATACTTTATATTTTTATAAGTAGACTCCGGTAGAAAAAATGAAAAATAGTGAATTCTCCTGATTAAAGGATAGTGTTTTCGTTAAATTCAGTAAAATTTAAAGAAAAAAAGGTTGATGACACAGTTCCTGTGGTTGAAATCATAAAACGTGAAACAAAACCATGACATGGATTTCGCAATCCCTTTGTAACTTGGCCAAAATTTGGTTAACCCACAAAACCAAAAGACAGAATCATCTTTTGTGACGTAAACTAAGGCCAAGGTTGAATTCTTTTTGGACACAATAATATATTCCTTTCTGATGAGAAATACTCGTGATTACGGCGAAGCTAAGCCTTGACCCAAGGAGTCTCTTGTTTTCAAATTGGGCCCGCCACCATTTTGAAACTGGCTATTACCCGAAACAACTAAAGGAAAAACACAATAATGACTTCAATCCAGATCCTAAACACATATTCTTGCTAAAGAAAAATAGTATTTTTGACATTATAGCTTTATAAGAATCATCATCATCTTAAAAAAGGGAAAAGATAAATGAAAACGAGTGACCTATTCACAATTAATAATAACAAAAGTAATTTTAAAAAATAGCTAGAAGCAATTAGAAATAGACGCCAAACCTTACAAACTCAAAACTGATTCAAGTTAAATGTAACCAAAAATAAATTGTCCACGCGCAGAGTACTCTCTGACCCACACTCTCAGAGTTTTGGTTGTGAAAAATTTGCCAAGTGCTTTGAGACTACTGAAAGCAACTCGAAGCCTTAACGAATCTGTTAATTTTTCAATATTTTTCTAAACAGGAGGCGTTTAACCAGATCTTTAGCGAGGCATACGACGAAAGAGACAGGTCGTGGTGGAAAAAACTGTGTCTGGCTGCGGTGGGGTTCGGCGCACTGGCGACATTAGTCTATCAACAGTCAAGTTGACTTGAATTCCACATCAAACATCGGTAGCTATCGAAATACAGTACATAGGAAGAGTTGAGAGATTTGTCTTCTGAATTCCGTTCCCTCGTTTTCATAAAACAACGAACGGTTATACAAAAAATATCATTTTCGCTTGAATACGCGCTCTTAAAACTGCATTCCTCAGTTGAAAGACCCGCTTACTGCAAACCTTTGGGGAAGTAGGAAGTATTTTCCAGCAAGGAAGTCCTAAAAAAGCGCCTAGTCAACATTAAAGGGGGGATACCAAGCTTATTTGTTTTTTATCATAAATTATTGCTTTTTTCTTGACAGAGTGATTTCGCACACTCATGAGCCCCCAATACCAACAGAGCTAGCCAGCGCTCTCACGCAGCCGGTGTAAAAGACGAAGTTTTTAAGAAAAATACATTTCGCTCACACTGTGCTAAGGAGATAATACGAAACTGCCTCTAGTAGAATTGAGTTTTATGCGAGTATCTGATGCTGGCATTTAGGACAACTATTTTTACCAAAACATCTTTGTTACGATTCATTTTATATAGAACAACGTGTATTAATTCATTTCCACGCTGACTCACATGCTTCGTAAAAGAAAATTACAGTTTCTCTAGAATATAAGAAACCATGATATCCAATTGCAACTTAGTTCACGTAAAGTTTGGACCAAACGGTCTGATTTAAAAGTGTATAAAGACATTTCCTCCCAGTTTCCGTTGATAGTGATATATTTATCATAAAAGATTCTTAAAATCGAGGTTTTAGTAGGCAAGGTCCGGTACCGCCATAGTTTTTATTTATATACTAAATTCCTCCATAATTTTGTAGCCATGACTAAATACAGAAATGTTAGATATATAGCCAGTCATATTTTATGTAGGATAAAATTCACTAATATTTAAGAGCTGACATATACGTACCTATTATTTAATGAAGGAATTCCATTCCATGCTAATTTATGTTTTTTTTTTTGCGAGTCTCTGTATCTTTGTGCGCATAGAGCGCTTTTCGATTGAGTGTCGTTATAAAAATGCCGAAGTAATCTCAACAGCCAATCAAAAGAAAGAAAGGAAAATGCCCCTTAACGGAACCACTGAGAAATCAAAGTAATAACCAAACTGGCCAAAGCGCGGGAAACGCTGGCGACCAAGACGTGATTGGTTTAAATTTTGTAACTGATTGGTTAAGAAAACGGCGCGAGTTTTCTGGACCAATCATAAAGCAAGTAAACACTCACTTTTGACACTCAATTGATGAATGCCCTATAAAGCCGATAAAGTTGCTTAAAGGTGATTCCTTAGAAATAAAAGTTGTCGATATACATTGTTCTAGACTTTCCCTGAGTGTTTCCAACCAATCACTACTTTGAAAAATGCCGCAACAACAACAAAATAGGTCACCACGCTCGCAAAGCAGATACGATGAGCCAATCCGCGAGAAATTTCTTTTATCTTGACTAATCTAATCCCATTTACATCTCAAAACTTATCTGACTTATCACGACTGGCCAAACCGCTGTTATCAGAAGCAACTGAAGTTTTACCCATTCTTGATGAGTGCAAACGTTTTTAATGATGTAGGCTTTCGAGCAAAGTAAAAGAATGTGTTGAGTGACTTTGGAACAGTCTTTAATGTATCATTGCCAATGCTTTTTTCCTACATCAAGAAGAAGAGAAAAGATTCTCGTAAAACAAAGAGGGTGGAACAGTTTAAACTGTTACAGCAAGCTAAATGACTGATTAGTGTAGCTGATTTCAGCCAGCACTCATCTTACTGAAATGGCTCCTCGGAGTCAAGAAACTGCGAGTAGACAAGATTTCGTCTCGAGTTATGGGAAATACAGTCGTAATACGTTCTTTGAACACTTTGAATGGGTGAGTCGCAGGTTCAATCTGTAGTATAAGTCATTGCATTCCCTTATCGAAAGTTCATTCGCATGGATGCCTTAGACTGACATACTCCACGTGATGTGGAGTCCCTGTAAACAGTCACTCAAAAATTTAGATCGTGCACACGCTTCGTGCGCAAGGCTAAAGTTATATCCAAATCGCGTGATCGGCTGTTGACCCATTTGCAGCGTATCTTTGTTTATCACATTAGTGGTTTTGTAGATTACTTCCTTACTTTAAAGAAAACAAACCCGACGGAAAACCGCTACAAGCAAGAAACGTGACTGTCTTAAAAGCCAATTGAGCTGGAACAGCAATAAAAACTTGTTTGATCGTACGCATGTTCTGTCTACAAAGAACTTTATTTAACTTAAACGGTTCGTTTAACAGGGCAATAATTGCCTTAAACGTCCGACGCGGACACAGAGCACGTACGCGAACGAGCTTTTTGGTTGTCACTAGCCGCAATTAATTGAATTGAGAGGGTAGATTGAAATCACTTTTGGAATCAAGAATTTGTAAGTCGAAAAGTATTGTGAAAGACATTTTATATCATCCAGTCTAATCATGATCTTGCAACTATTTGGCGCGTACATTTTTTCGCGTTTTTGATATATTTTAAAGTAGAAGGTATCCTTTAAAAGCAGTAAAGCAACCTCCTCATTCAATAACTAACATTTCTGTGAAATAGCAGTTCTAAGCCTGATTCATTTTTTGTGCCAAACGGCAGAAGGAGCAGAACTTGCTCTCTAATCCCGCAGTAAAGAGTGTGGTTTTTCTTGGAGAGTTTAAAAGTTGGCAATGATAAAAGTCTACCTCTTTCATTCTTCTCTATAAGAATGTTCATCGATCTTTAGATCTACTTTTATACATCAGCGAAAAACTGCACAATTTGTAGGTAACATTTTCATTAGCTAATGTTGTTAATTTTCCGTACTAACGAGATCTGTAACATAGCCTCACCTGTAAATCATGGAAGCTTTCACCACTGATATAAAATCCTGGCCCGCAAAACTCCCCCCTCCCCGAAAAATACGCGTTGAAAACGAATTTAAGTTGAAATCAACATTGTAAAGGCCCTTGTCGGGGAGAGGAAGGACTACATAACGAGAAGGATGTGTTATTTAATTAAAAGTTCTGTTGTGGAGGCGCCACGTCGTTGATCTGGCTGTTTCTTCTCCTTACCGTTTTCCATACAGCTTTTCTTCTGTTGGTTTGGAGACTCTAACGAGACAATTTACCGAAGTGATAGCTTTCTCTACTTTCATAGTCTGCCGGCTTTCAGTTTAAAAGTATTGAGTTTGAAAAGAGAAAATATTTCTTGACCATTCGTAAGGGTGAAGGGTGTAAAATAAGAGAGGTGACGGTATCTTATATCTATTTTAGTTACATTCACGAAGGGTTTAGCAGATGAAAACGCTTTTCTATCGCGCAAAATTATTACTGTGGGGAAACAAATGATCATGGCTTCCTGGGAGTTTTACATGGCAGCGCATGGCTCTACGTCAGTGGCTTTCATTTTCAAATTAGTCATTTTCGTTCTAGATGGAAAAGACCTTTCTCAAATACCATGGCGGCATTGCCGCGCACTTTTGCGGCCTCAACATACAATGCTTCCCGAGTATCGTGCATTATTTTTTCATCAGATCCCACAACAGCACCACACGCACAATACAACTTTATTCTATACAGCTATATTGTAGATCAAGATTGAATCGAAAAACATTAGCTTATTCACGTCGCAAATAAAACCGAATACATCCATTCAAAACTTGTTCACTTTTGCTCTTCCAAGTCTGGTCTCGATTCTTTTCTTCTGTGTTTCTTTCGGGAAGCATTTTACAGTTCTAAACTATTCTTTTGCTACAAATTTGATCAATTTTATCATCTTTTGATCAGTGTAAAATTTTTCAGAATTTCGTGTCCGAGCTAATTAAACTGTTCAATCTTTGAGTTTGTAATGTTTAAAAGAAACTCATAGAGAGAGAAAGATAAACACACCGCAATTATGAAATTTGTAAAGGAAACATTAGCTCGCCTACCGCGCTAAATTGATGAAAGCGAGGAATAGTTTCAAAATGTAATCTCCGTAAGAGATTAGTTCCTTCAAATTAAACCACCATTGCCTCCCCTGATGGGTCAAATAGCACTTGATTTATACTTGCATCTTCTTGTCACGTCCGAGACCGAATATCAAAAACAAAACAAATAGCGTTTTGAAGAACGAAAAATCGTGTTGGCAAAATTTAAGTCAACTTGGGGGCCTAGATAAAAGCAAAAAAAGACAACTGTCTATTGAAAAATCAACATTGGTTATATGCTCTTCTCATAACAGGAACAAATGATATGAAACACGGACTAAAGCAAAAAAAGAGCTCTTACTCTGAGTGCATTTTCTAACGGTCGAAATTCTAAGATTAACTAGACTCTTGAAAACTCTTAAAATAGAACAAGTGTCGTTGAGAGGGGAATTGTTGGAATAATGCACCTCTGGCATAATTACAAAAAGTACGGCCGATATATAGGCAAACACAATAAAAGGCAATGAAGTCAGCTCCTAGATATTTTTATTATCAGTTTCTTGAGTGCCAAATTCTGCGGTGAACGAATGTGGTGAATTTGAAACATGACGAAAACTTTAGGTAACTGAATTTTTGACAAGAAGACTGAAAGGACAGAAGACGATATACAACCCTCTTAACAGAATAGATGGATTGTACAATAAAATGTTTCGGTTTTAGAATTTATTGTTACATTTTAGCTCCCTTCACACCTCCGGACGTTTTTCCCGAACTGGCAAAGTTCCTCTGATCAGAATGAATTTAGACCTCAGTAATCGAACCAGGTCATTCAGTATATCATTGCATTAAAATTGTTTTTTGAATTTAGAATCCCTACTATTGTGTTTGGTCGGAGCAGTAATCAAACAAAGTCCATAGGAGATTGAAAAATAGAAGAAGTTTACAAAAGACATTCCCTCAAGAATCGTTTTAAAATGTCATGGTTTCGTTGTTTATATTTGTGTTCTATTTCGAGACTTTTCAAGATGTTTAGACTTTCCATGTTGACCCCTGAAAGCGCGTTGCCTCGAAGAATCAAAGATTTTTTTTTCCTCCGTAACTAATGTAGCAACGCTTATGTTATTAATTAAAACGTTTTCGATTTCAGTTTTCTACAATATGATAAATTGGTTGGCGTTTGAAGGTGAAATAAATGTGTTTATTCTATTCATATTTTTTAATATGTAAGTAAAAGGGTGTTTACATAAGTCGCGCAGTATTCTTTGCATTGTGAGCGCGTTTTATGAGTTCTATTCATTAATGGCGAATCTCTATCTTAAAGCACTATTGATTTTCTGTCAAAACAAAGGCATTTCGCTCTCACAAAACAATAAGCCTGATCGATGAAAAAAGCATTGTTTACTTTTTAATTCTTAACATCTAATATGCCTCGTTCGATGGCCTTAGTAATAGTTCTTTTCATTCGGTTTTTCATAGTCCACGGCACCTGCAGAATAAAGATGAGATTGTCGGCAAATTCAAGAGGTTTTTTTTTTATACAACAAGGCCATTGATTACTAAGGAGTAACCCGAATTAAAAGCCACGACTTTTAATATCACGTCCAAGAAGCACACCGCGGTATGTTGTGACAATGTTCGTTGGCTTTTTTTAATTTCCGAGCGCCTCCGTTTTTTCCATTTTACTCTCCATTCCACGACAAAGTCGTTAAATTGAATGCGCTGCGTGTAAGTGAATTCAAGATAAACACAAAACTACCTTGAAAAATCAGCAAATATGTTGACATTTAAAATTGACATAAGATATTAAAGTGATTATGTACGTTTCTTTGCGGAGATTTTATCCAAAATATTTACGTTAGCACTACGCCATTTTTAATGACAGGTTTGGTCATCTTTGAAGAAAAGATAAAAAACGCCTAACTATTGACAAGAAACCGCTGTCGTTTTTTCTCGTGTGTTATGCTGCTTCGATCCTTTTGTTACGATAATTGTTACAAGACCTTAACAAAATAAAAGTATTACAATTACCTAAATATTTCACAATCAGAACATTGCGAGTTGAGAACGTAAAGGGTCATTCCTAATCGTGATAAGGTTCAGATTATTGTGTTAGGAAAGCCATAGCTTTAGGAAACCACGGAGTATTGTCCTATTTTTAAACTTACAAAATTAGTTTAATTTCGGCCAGGTTCTTTGCGAAACCCGCCTTCCAAATTATTAAGTATGCCCGAAATGGCCTAGAGAAAACTTTAATAAACTTTATAGGGCCATGTCTTTGCGCTCGAAGAAAATGAGTTCGCAATTTATTGAACGCTAATATGAAAAAAGTAATAAACACAAAAAGTTATAATTCACTTTATTACTGGTGCTCAATTTTTCTCAGAACAACAGTCCCGAGATAAAGGTCCGGCTACAAGAATCAGACAACAAGCGCGGATTGCCTGAAGGAAAAGATCTTAGCGGTAATCTGCGTCCGGAAAGCTGAGGGGCAAATTGAAACTGAGATAGACGTTCTATATAGACGAAAGCCCTGAACTGTTTGTAAACGATGAAGTGGTAGGCCTTTCCATCGGTGTTTGAGTAACAAGTTTAATACTTACAATGTTCTCTCTTTTTTAATTAGCCTTGTCAACAATGCAGAGCGACCGCAAAGCGGCGGGTATAAACAAAATGGAGTTAGCAGCCCGTGTTACGAGGTTTTATTACTTCACCAGGCCGCCGAATGTCAAACTTCCTGTCCGCGTTAGAAGAGCGGACGGTGCCTTTGTGGGGAGCAATGCCCGATGACACGTGAGAAAGTTCAAGACAAATTTGAATATTTTATTTAAACCATTATAAAAGCCGGCCTTTTGTTGTGGGCCAAACTTCAATAAGAAAATTAACGAGTAATTTGGATAAGTTTCGGTTTGATAGGCATGTGCTAATTAGGTATTCTGTATTTAATAGAAATCTTCGGCCTGCCGACCTGTTGTATAAACATTGAGTGACATCGAAACTCAGAGCACGGTGAGGCTTCGAATCGGCGACAAACAAAAGAAATTTTTGAAGTTTGTCGGTGTGTTTAGCAAACGCCATTTATTTCGATAGCTTAAGTACACATTGGAGAAGCGTAAAAAAACCCCACATCTGTCTCGGGGTTTACTTCAAACGCGTCAAGTTGTTTAAAAGATTAAGAAGCTCTCGACGTGTGAGTGAATCAAAACATGCCAAGACCTCTGAGAAACAGCTACGGCAGTGCAAAGCCGCCGTACTCCTACATTTCGCTGACAGCCATGGCTATCCAGAGCTCACCGCAGAAAATGCTATCGCTCAGTGAGATTTATCAATTCATCATGGATCACTTTCCTTTTTACAGGGAAAATACGCAACGCTGGCAGAACTCGCTGCGACACAATCTCAGTTTCAACGACTGCTTTCTAAAGATTCCTAGAAGACCAGATCAGCCCGGCAAGGGAAGCCTCTGGGCTCTTCACCCAGATTGCGGAGCAATGTTTGAGAATGGCAGCTTCTTGCGCCGCAGAAAACGCTTCAAATCCGAGAGGGAGAGGACCAGTAAACTTGCAAAGCTGATCACAGATGAGACTAAAGAACCGCATAACGGCAGAGTGCTTATGACGAGTGACAATCCTGCTCGCTGCATCTCGCCAGTCGATGTCACTCAATCGGGCTTCAAGCACCCTTTTAACATAGAGAACCTCATTGGATCAGACATCAAAAGCGTTCAGTCGTGCTCGACAATGACAACCCCTATTCCCTCTCTACCAACTTGTCCATCCTGCATGAATACACCTCCCGCCTCCTCACTGGCAGCCGGCTATCAAGGAAATCTTTGGTCTGCTGCTTTGCCAGCCCCGTATTTCGCCAAACCTTGTTCTCATCACGAGCGTATGAAGGAATATGAGATAGCAAGGCTTGGACAACAGTTTTACCACACAGGAGAACTTGCTTCGTTTTACGGCGCAGTTCCAGTATCCACTGCAGTTCTACCGCAGGCACTGTTTCGGTGACCGTGTTCCAAGCTGTTCAGAGCTGTTTACGCCATAAAACACTGCTTCAAAGTGTAAGGAGACACTGACACTTGGAATACTTGAACTCTATTAAAAGCAGTAATAGCCCACGAGGACTTTTAGTCAAACAGCCGAAGGTTTCTAATGCTACTAAGACGGTCGCTCAGGTCTTCACACTCAAAGAAACATTCAGAGGAGACAAAGCCTTGAGTTAAGTAGCATAGCATGAAAGTGTCAGTTTTAAATCGGTTCCTGTTAAAAACTGAATGGGCGATAAAGTGTCTTGTTTATTTCGTCGCGAAATGACTCGAAAAGCACAGCCGTTGTTAAACGAAAAGGGATAGTTTCAGAGGCTTATTTTAACTATGAAATGACTTATTTTAAAACACTGAAAAGGAAGACAACTTATTGAGGTAAAGGAAACTACATATTACTCGCAGTAAATGTTTGAACAAATAGCCCGCTTTAATGTCGCCCACAACTCAGTATGTAAAAACTATTTTTATCGGGCTAAAAATGATTATATCCCTAGAGAGAAATAATAGGCAAATTGAAGGCCAAACCTTGAATGAAATATTGTATATAAAGATCAGTATGTTTGAAATGAAAGCTGTTATTCGTTTTAGATGATTTCGGGTACATTTCCCAGTAGGTAATTTGTGTACGTTACAATTCGAAATTTAAAACGCAAACTAGGTTGAATATAGGTTACAGTTCTTGGTTTTCACAAGTTATTCAGTTGAAAAAGATTCAACCTTGGTTGAACTCGCTCACCCTAAAAAGGCTCGAATGGTATTTTTGTGATTAAATTATTTCGTAGATTTAAGTTGTTCTGAATTGTAAACATTTGCCCAGCGAGCTCTTGGATTGTATACGTTTTTCATCTCTTGTTGGTTTTAAAAGCAGAAATTTGTGAAGCCTTAAGTAAATACGGTTAAAAAGTATTTGAAAAATGTTCTTGTTTTTCTTTATTAACCTCAAGGAAACTTAAACTACATCAGTGAAGCACTTAGCATCACCTACCAAATGTTGATCGAAATAAAAAAAAAGCCGATTAGATATTCATATTGGTTTGTTTTCGGTAGCCCTTTAAAAACAGGAGGAGGTAAGTTATATGTTAACGGCCTACTTCCAAGCACTTACAAATCGCTTAAACACTCTTTCTTCTCACTAAAACAAAATACCTTTTATTTTCACAGCTTTTTATCGTAAATTCGATGACAGGAGATGCACGGCTGTGAGGTGCTTCATCCTTCACAGTTCTAAAAAATTCGGGAAACGCCAAGGACTTGAAAAAAGCAAATGAATCTATCAGCGCCGTAGAACTGTTTGGCCACCCGGCGATGAAAGAGCCCCCTTTTCTTACTCAATTTCGCAGCGAAGAACACAACTTATAAATAAGAATCTCTTCAAAACAGAAAACGAAGAAAGAAAGTCAACACATTTTGGAAAATACATCAACTTTTCAACAACCGATTCAGGAAAATCAAAGCAACTGAAATCAATTAAACCAAAAACTCTTATGATACAGAATAGTCACGTTCCTTATACCTGGCGACAAAACACTTTACCTTACATTAATAAAAATTTAAATGCATTTAGAACCCATCAAGAAAACGTAAGAATCATTTTGAGGGTTTCATAGTAGCTTTGCCAGCTTTTAAATTAAAAAAAAAACATTTAAAAGCGTCGAAATTCCCGCGTTTAAGTCATAACCTTGGCGCTTTTTGTCAGAAATTTTACACAATTATCACTAAAATCTCTCGCGCATTTGTCACAAGAAACCTAATACTTTTCATTAAATTAAGATGGGAAAGGGCAGAACTTCTCTTTAAGAATTTCAGTCTACTTATAACGTAATTGATCGTGATTCGAAACAATTATTGAAGAAAAAAAAGGTCGTGCACACGCGCTTGAAAAATAACCGCACTTGAGAAAAATTCCCAACTGATGAACTTGAAACTCTTTAGACACGCATTAAATTCGACATTTAAGTACCATAATAAGACATATCAATATGCGAGAGTCTTTGCATATTGAAAGCACAATAACCGACGCTAGAAAGACTTCAAGATACCCCGCAATGCGAGATGACAGTGGCGCGCGAAATATGAGTCGTACACAAATGTGTGTAACATAGTTGCTAAGAGAAAAGTTATCGACGAGAGGCATCTTCATTGATCTGCAAGATTAGGCTTACGTCGAAAAGGTTGCTTCGACAACATAAATGTGTTTTTGACAAGAGAGACACCTAACTTATCACGCAAACGCGTCTTTCATGGCAAGCGGTACGAACATATTGCGGCAAAAGATTTTGAGATTACTTCTCATAAAAATGCTGCCATTTTCAGAGCACATCGCACAGTATTTCCACTCTAGCATATTGAATCCTGCATGTTCTTTTTGAAAAATCAAATTTCCGAACAAGATGACAATGACATAATTTATTTGTTCTTGGCAAGTGTACTTAAAACTGGCGGTTGACAAGTCATCTGAAATATATCTGCAGATATTAACTTACAATCTCATTTTCTTAAATTTTATGAAAATTTTGATATCTTAATCATTTCAAAACATAGACTAATGGTCAATCTTACAAGCTACAAATCTTGGCAACTGAAATAAATTCATGTCATAGTATTAAATAAAACCAATATTGATTTTGTCGCAGGTTCTATGTAGAGTTTTATGCGATTTGTAGACCGCTCTTGACATTTTAATTTGTTACATATCAGAATATTGTTAGTACTGACTGAGATGGAAACACGACCATTTCTCTGTAAGGGCTGTATATAATATATTTTAGGACTCAATTTTCCGTCGATGAGCAATATCAATCTTTCAGTTTTCTAACATATATTATCGTAACAAGATCGCCCTTGATGTAAGGTAATATTAAAGCTTGTTAAATTAAGAGCTGGATTTATCTCAAAGAGGAGATATCATCTTCATTTCCCTACTTGAAAATCTATCGTCGGAGTTCGAAGACTGCTTTTAGCTTTATCTGGGTAGAGGTTCAGTTCATTCCACAACCTCTCTCAGATTGTAATATGTTCATTTAGCTGAAACCGTTACGGAATATAGTGTGCTCCACAACAACATTAGACAAGTACATTTTACAAAGAGCAATTTTTATTCATAACTTACCAAAAACCCCCAACGAGAAAACAGGAGAAGCTAGTTCATAATGATGGCCATCGATCGACAGCTTAAAGTTGTTTTGGTCAATTTTTCAGAAGTGTTTAATCAATGTGCTAATCACGCATCTAATTCTTAAAAAAAAAAAGTATTCATAAACAAAACGTGATTGCTGTTCTTATTTTTTGCCAAAATATCAGGAGAGGATGAAAAGAGAGAAACTAGCCTCCATACGTACCTTCATTCAAATAATAATCCTTTTAAATCTAATTTTGCCTCATCCTCCATCTCAAATATACATCAATCAGTACATTTTATTAAAAAGCTTCTGAAAAGTAGTCTCTAATTCAAACCCGAGCCCTCAAACACCTTGGGTCGAAAATAAAGAGTGAGAATGTACATGACAAAAGAGCGTTTAAGAAAACTTAGAAATGAGTTCCTCCTCACTTCAATCAGTTTTCCTTTTGATATATATTTTACTGAGTGGAAGCAAATCAGTCTTAAGATATATTTTGTAAATGCATTTCTGCAAGGTTTGTTTTCGCACCACACATAATTTCCTCTCTATAGGGCCCACGCATTGGATGAGAAACAAAAACAAACGAATCGTTAAACAAAAAAGCATTGCTCCGTCTCTGAATCTACGCCACACTTGCCAAAACACACATAGTCTGTTTCACTCACTTCAACAGATGACAGTCTTCAAATAAATGCAAATATAAATTACGTATCTTTAGGGTTTGTCTTTGAGAACACGTTTTAGGCTTGGAAGGATCTTTTCCGCAAAGGATAAAAAAATGTCAGCTAGCTGGCCAGTGGTAAATTGAGATGGACAGTTCATTTTTCATAAAAATTAAAATTGCTTAATATCACTGTTCTAGCCCCGTTTTCTTGTGTTTCTGGTGCCGCAGGGCTCATCAGATGTCGTATGTCCCTATAAAGGTGCCAATACTGTCAAATCTAGACCATACTTTGCTAAACGTATGAAAATTGCCACAAATTATTTCGCACCTGCACGGAGCAGGTTTAAAATCGCTTGTCGTTTGATGTTTTAAGAACTGCCGAACAATAAAAACACCTGAAGCAACAGAGTCAGCAGTCTTGAATACTCTTTTTCTCGGTACAAATGTTTTGTCTAGATGGAGTTTAGCATCTTGGCAGCTGGATTTTTATTTCGAAATACGGACTGATGAGTTGAAAAGATAGCAAAGAACTTTTAAAAAACAACCTATACGCGGACTAGACTGTGCCACATTAGGCAGCAGAAGTGAAAAAAAAAATCAAAAGTTAAGAACTGAATTGTTCTGGCCTTTGAATGATTTTCAACATTAAGTCAGATCTCCACAGCAGTAATCGGTGGAAAGAAGCACTTTCCCTTCGTGAAGGTAAACAGAGGAACACCACCTCAAAATAGTCTTTGTATTAAACACATTACAAGCACAAACATTAACATTTCAAGACATCAATAAAGGTGCAAAAAAGCAAAAGAAGCAATGTTCACTTGTAAATATGATATTCAGATTTTATTTGCGACACTTATTACTATAAATAATGTTTAAAAGGAAAATATCACCTGCAAATAAGGGCAAATACTAGCAGTGCTCGTGTGTGAGCAAGATATGACAATTAGAAACACTTATGAGTAAGCAGCTTACATATTTAGCGTGAAAAAATTTATCTTGGCCCTTTAAACTGCACTTGCGGTATCTTAAGAAAATGTAAGTAAATGTGCACTAGTCTGACCGATTCGAACACTATGAATAAAGAATTAATAGCCGGGTTTTTGCAGCACTTCCTCGTAAGAAAATCATACTAACAATAAATGCATGGAATCTCAAGTGGTTAAGAGTTTCACAAAAACTGCAAGAGTCATTCATTACCTTAGAAAGTTTAAGACGTCTTCATTTCAACTAAAAGTGTTGAGAGGTCTACTCTAAACTGAAACGTAAACATTTGTTTAACTGTCCCAAAAATCAAACACATAACTGAGCTGAACTGCAGTATTAGGAGTTCCGGCACTTCGGTAGAGCATACAAACAAAGCACATACTTAGTTAAGGTAACCCTTAGTTTTGATAACGACGTTATTTTTTTTTTCCTTTTGATCATGTGAGAATGTTTTCATCTTGAGGAAACCGTCAGCCGAGGCGGCGTCCTTCGCTGCAATCAAAGTCTCGAAGTAATAAGCGCCAACTTGATTAAAAAAGAGCTGTCGCAACCTTTTGTAGCTTCGCGCTTCGGGGCACATGGAAATGCCCGACAAAATTTAATCAGTGGCCCTGTTTTTCCTTTGTGCCAAACCCTTGGCTTTCAAAGCCTTATCAATGCTATATTTATCTTTCCATCCACGATATATCCACAGATAACGTACCAGCGTTTTTCTCCATTCCTGTCTCATACGAACCATGCAGGTTTTGTATAGTTTTTCCTGATAGAAGCCTAGCGAAGTCCAACCAGAGGGGAGGCTGCCTAATAATAACTATCTTTGTCCGTGCTTCTCAGCGGCTCGCTTTGAAGTTGAGCTGACTCTCTCGCCGACTGGAAGTTTAATAAGCCTTGCAGGGCTTCAAGCCCACATGGGCCTTTGTTTTGTGTGCAGTGCATGTACGCGCAGCTTGTGTTGTTATTACGCGCCCGTTCTAAATGAAAGTTGTTCTTGTTAGCGTTATTGATCAAAGGAGGACGAAATTAGACCAGCTTTAAGACACACCCCGTAATAAAACGAGTGCCGAGTGGCCCAAACGTTAAAGAGGTGTCGAATTGTCAGCTAAATCACTCCGAAAACAGTCAGCAAAAACGCAACTGCCCCTAGGAAGCAAAATGTTATACGATGACTGAAAATTTTGCTAAGCAAACTTTTTCAGACTCCATTAGTAAAAAAACAACCAATTTGTTACGAGCAATCG